ATTCCATTAATAATTTGTTCTTTGGTTGGATCTTTTTGAACATTAACGATATTTGAAATAAGGCATTCTAATGTTGAGCCTTAAAATTAAAAAAGATATTTAAATTTTTGAAAAGTAAGGTGTTTTCTTTTCTTGCTATCTTAAATCAAATTTCTCTCCTCCTTTACTTTCTACTTAATAATACACAAATGATCAAGGAAAATTAAAATAAAACAAATAATACTCAAGAAAATTTTAAAAAATTAGGCCACAATTTTGTAATTTCTTAAAAATCGATTTAGTAAAATTTTTTCTCTCTTTGTTACCGAAAACACTTTTCAATAGCAAATAGGGAAAAATCATCTTAAATGGATCTGCAAGAAAATATAAAATTTTCGCTCCTAAATAATTTGACATTCCACCATTTATTTCGTATTTTTATAAATTAAATTGTTTATTATTCATATTTTTTAAGTGCTCCTTGACAAATTCAATCTAATATTAATTATAAGGAGAAAGGAGAGGAAGAGAAAAATGGAGATATACAAAAACATTAAAAAAACCTTGAGAATGTGGCACACGAACATTTTGATGTAAACTGGGTTTTGTTAATTGACCACAACCAAGTTGTTTTATGATAGCAGCGCAATGTTCAACAAATGGCGCAATTAAAGCAAAATCAGAAAATGCAACCTTCTCTACACGAAGTAAAAATTGAAAACAACGAGAGCCTTGATCAATTTCATGGACATGCTCCATCATACAAGAAAGTGCATAACCAGGCCTAAGATCTTGCGTACAAGCTTTTAGACGATGATTTTGGTTAATATCAACAGTGCAAAATTGTTGAAGAGCACCAATAAAACGCTTGTCCTTAAAATTTAACAAAATAAAAATTTTATTCCGCGGTAAAATTTAATTTCGCCCCCTTCTCCCTCAAGATAATAAAATGGACAGACTTAAAATGAATACTTATGGATATATCACCTCCCCCCTATTTTTAATTTCACATTATGGACCGGTATCGTGCTTGTGCAACTATGACATTTACTTAAATTATAAATTAATTTAATTTTAACCAAATAATAAATTAAAATTCCATAAAATTTTTCAAAAAAAACTTATTTAAAATTTAAATACCTGTGTCAATTCAACTTTATATTCCCAGACTGCTTGAGCACACTGTGGTTGTAAAGCTTCATTCTCACTAAAACCAGCATCTTGTAAACACTCTAGGGCATCCATATCACTCAAAACTTCTCCAGGTCCAAGTTGTGCAATATTCTTCTTGCAATATTTATCAATATCCAACCTACAATCAGGTTTTTGTGCAAGCCTTTGAGAGTCCGAATGAGGTTTATTTGCATCAATATTTGCGTTTACTTTAAAAAGAAAATTTAAAAAAATAATTAAAAACAAAAAACCATTATCAGGTGGTGGCTGCTGTTGTATAGGGACTTGCTGTTGTTGATCAGCTAAAAAATATTTTAAAATAAAAAATTTCTATAAATCAGAATTTAAAAGTAAAAAAAGACTTACAGCTGATCCGGGAAAATAATATAGACAAAACAAGCAAAAATATAATTTTGGCTGATAAAAGGTCAAAATTCATTCCTGAAAATTTTCCTAAGAAGTCTTAAAGAACATAATTATGTAAATAAAATTAATTAAAACTGGCCAAAATTACTAAAGATGACGCGAAAAATGTAAAATAAGCGCAACACATTTCGGAATTAAAGTGGCCAACTCACCAAGAATTTCGTTTCAAAATTTTATTTTGTCACAAATTTATACTGTAGTTATTAAGGAAAATTTCACGCGCTAAACTAAAAAATAAATATAGTAAAATATTCAGAAAGAATTTAAAAGGATTAACTTTAATTTGGTAATTGTAAATCATTTGAAGAGTTAGATTTGATGATAAAAATTGTCGTTTAATACTTGTGAGTATCTTTAACGTTCGCACTTCTTGCTTCCATTAGCCTTATTCTTCGGTACATCTGTGAAGGAAAATAAAAATTTTATTAAATTAAAAAATGAAAAAAAAAGTTTGTAGACGCAGATCACTACAAAGATCTATCACTACAAAGATTAGACAAAAACAGCACTAAATAAGGAAATTTCTTCTAAAGTAGAAAACCCCGAAATTTTAGAATTGAATAAGATGCTGAAAAATCAAAAATAAGCCCTGTGGGCCAAAAAGTTTGCCTTGAAAAGTCTGTCTTCCATTAAATTTTTTGTCTTGTGTTTTGAAAAATCTATTATCCAATTTTACCTTTGTCCACCCCATCTGCCTCTTTAAAATAATTATTTCAAAATAAAAAAATTATTTATGTATTTATTTATAATTTTAATAATCAATTAATAAAAAAATATTCGGATTATTTACTTACTCGATTAAACAATTTTATTTTAATCTGACAATGAGTCCAATTACTAAATCTAAATTTCTGCCACATTTTGAATTATTTTAACAGATAAAAAAAAGAATTTTGAGTAATTTGTGTTCCGTTTTTCCTTTTTTATATTTCCATTATTTAACAAAGAAGCAACAATCTAATGTTTAATTATCAAATTTTGTTTTTATTTCAATTATTAATTAATTATAGCACAACAAATTGTTTTAGTTTGACTGAATCTGTGAGCTTAATTAAATTTTTAAAGATTTTTTTATTATTTTTTAGGTAGCTACATCAACTACTATAATTCCAAAAAATTTATCTAATTTTGAAAATATCACTTTAGGTGGAGAAAATGTAACTAATATACAACAAGTATTATCTAATACAAATACTTCTTTGACAGAAGGTTGGGGGGGGGGGCAAAAATATATTTTTTTACTCTCAATTAATTAAATCTGATTGAAATAGGAGAAAATATATTATTTTTAATGTTAATCCAAAATAAAATTCTTTTCCATAAAAATATATTTGGAGAATTTCAAAATAATTTATTTAGAAGATGTGGAGGATGATGAATCGTCAGAGCCAGTAGAATTTCTTGAAACAATGAATGGCGATAATTTGGTTAAGGGAGATAAAGTAAATGAATATTTAGAGATTTGTTTAAATTAATTAATTAAAGGTTATTGAAGTTCGAACAGAATGGAATACACATGTAGGGGATGATGATGCTGAAGCTACTGAATAAATAAAATTTTATTTAAAAATTAAATTTCTTCATATTTAATATTTGATAAATTTAATTAAAATTATATTTTTACCAAAAAAACTTCCCCTTCTACATATTTATCAAACATATAGATCTATGTACATATAAATTAACCTGCGCAATTCACTTTTGATAGATATTAAAGATAAAAAAAGTGGAAAGGTTTGTATATGTAGTTTACAAAAACTTTTTTATTTATTAAATTTATTATTAAAGTTCTCCTCTCTCTTTCCGTATTAACCAAATAAAAGGTAAATTTTACATTGTTCTTTAAATCGTTTTTTTTGTGAAAATAATAAAAGAACAAAAAAATAAAAAAATATGTTAACAGCTGGAATTAATACTAGTTATGTATATTCACACAAAAAATTATAAAAACACTTTTTAATTAAAAAATCGATTAGATCAACAATAAATGATTAATTTATGGAAAATGTAATGAACGGCTTTATGATTTGTTTGTTTAATAAAATTATTAGAGAGACAGTAAAGTTTGTAAAAAATAAAATATTTTTAATGTTTATTTTTTTATTATTGATCAAATTAATTTTTTAATAATTTAATTTTTAAAATCAAAAAATATCTTCACTATATTTTGTTTTTTCTTTTTTATCAAAATTTATAAAAAATATTTTTAGACTGAAACGGTTTATTAAAAATATTTTAACGAGAATTTTATAATCGTCTTCTCCCTATCAATATCGTTTTTATTGAAAAACGTCATGCAAGTTAAAGAAAGTGAAAATATTTTAAAATAAAAAAAAGGAAAAAGAGAAATAGGGAGAGATCATCGCGCTGTCAGGAACACCTCTCTCCCTTCCAATAGGAGAAAAATAAAAATAAATATAAAATTGTACATGTACATCCACCAACCACATCTTTTTTCCTAAAAATTTTTATTATTATTTTCTTTCATTTTTAATTTAAAAAATCTTTTCATATTTATTTTACCTCTTGAAAAATATTATGTAAATGTTTAAATTAAAAATTTATATTAACCTACCTACACATTTAAATTAAAGACAAAAATATCGTTTTATGATTAGGGGCTAAAAATACAAAAATTATTTATTATATTTAATAATTTCTTCAAATAACTTTTTAATTTTTATTTTAAAAACATTTTATGCTTTTCCCAATCATTTATTAGTAATAAAATTGAAAAAATTCCTTTTGTACATTCTCTTATAATATTTTTCTATTTAATCTTTGCCTTTTGCCATTCACAATACTTTTAACCACAAATACTATGACTTTTTTTTTAAATTATTTCATTTTATTTTTTATTTTACTTTTTTTTCATATTTTTTGCTTTACATAAATTAAAAATGTTAAAATTAAATTATTTAAATAATTTATTAAATTTTGACTAGAACCAAATCTGTGATCGATCAATATTATCGGGATTGATAAACGATATTTAATATCGATAGTTGAAATTCTAATCGGGGTTTTAACATAAATTTTTAAGAATAATTTAATTTTCCTTACAAATTAGGGTCAATTAATTAAAGTAAAATCGCCTAAATATTTTTTTTATTCCTAAAAAATTTTTTTTAATTTAATATTTAAACTTGAAAAGCTATCATTTAACAATAAAATCACAGAATATTCTTTGGGCCATACTAATCTGTTTGATATTTTTTTGAATAAGTTTTTTTAAAAACTTAATTTTTAATTTCTGAAATTCAACTTTAAACGATTTAAATTTCCGACACTTCCGTCATTCTCGATTTCCTTCTTTGAAACTTATACACTTTAACCTCTTTCTTGTTTTTTTTATATATTTATTTATTATTAAATTTATTTTTATTTTTTTATTTTTAATTATTTTTAAAAGAAAATAAAAAATGGTTGATCGTCTTGTTCGTTTACGTTCTGTTTGTTCACCAACAAATTCCTTTGATTCTTTTCGAAGTACTCATTTACGTATTGGAGATATTATTTCATTATATGCACCTGATTCGAAAGGGGAAAATAATAACATTTGTGGTCATGAAGGATTTTTGTCAACTTTAGGGTAATTAATGTAATTTAAATGAGGTCCGGGCCACGACCCATTACCCTCTAACATTTCGATGAAAATCAGGGATTGTCCCGGCACAAGTCCATGTAAAAATAATCCGGGTTGAGACCCGGAACTTTGGTAAATTCAAAAATAATTCTTTCTGTCTCTTACTCATTTTTATAGTTTGGTAGATGAACGTTGTGTTGTTGTAGAAGGACATGGAAATTTACAATCACCCCCAGAAACATTTAGAGGTATTTTACAACCAATATTTTTTAATAAAATTATTTAAAAAAAAGATTGTCTTTTCCGTATATGTCCAATAAATAGATATTCAGCACAAAAACAATTATGGATGGAACAAAAAAGATTACAATATTCAAATTCAAGTACTTCTTCAGATTCTTTTATAGATGAGGAAATGTTAATTAGAGTTGAAATTGCTGCAGAAAAGGAAAGAGAACAAAATAGAAATGATTATACAAAAATGTTAGGGAATATAGTTCAAGTACTTAATTATTATTTAAATTTAAATTAATTTTTAATTAATTAAAAAAGTATGGTTCTTCAATCCAACTTTTACATGTAAAATCAGACAAATATTTAACAATGCAAAAAAATTCCCCAGCACGTCAAGAAAGGAATGCAATGCGTGTTTATTTAGATAAATTAGGAAATGAAGGTTCTTGGTTTTTTGTTGAGCCTGCTTACAAACATGTTTCTTTGGGAGATAATGTAAATAAATTTTGTGATATAAAATTAAAAAACAAATAATTACAAAAAAAGGTAATGTCTGGTGAAAGAATTACTTTAGTTTCTTTTACTTCGAATAATTCAAACATTTCTTCTGTTGGCCCAAAACTTCAATTACACCTTTCTAATCACAGATTAACTGACCACAAAAATTGTTGGGAAGTTAATTGTTTAAATGAACAAACGGAGTGGCAAGTTTGTGAAATTGTTTTTCGAAAAATATTTGTTTTTAAGGCACATGTTTTTCTTCAATATGACGAAAATATGACAGAAAATGTTAAATCAGTAAATTGAATTTATATATTTCTTTTTGACATTTTTTTCTCGAAGGGAGATGTTCTTCGTTTATTTCATGCCGATCAACAAACATTTTTAACATTAGATTCTGAACCTAAAAACATTCAGAATGATCGAGTATTTCTTAGATTAACTAATAGACCGTCTGCAACTGATGCAACATCTTCTCGCGCCCTTTGGGAAATTCAAGTATTTAATAGAGAAATGCCTTTACGTGGGGGAGCTTTAACTTGGAGAAAGTATGTTTTTACCTCCTCCAAATTTATCGAAAAATTCTTTAATTTAATCTAGATTTGTCCGTTTCAAACATTTGGCAACAGACCAATATTTAACTGTTGTTCCAATTGATAAAGAAATAAAAAATAATGAAGAATTAATTAATAAAAAGGGAAATAATACTAAAAATAACAATATTCTATCTTATAATTCAACAACTTTTATTCAATTCCGTTCAATACCTTCACAGCCAGAAACAGAAAATCCAACATATATTTTAATACCAAAAAGATCAGAAGATCCATGTAGAGATGAGGATATTCTTTTTATGTTAGATCCTTGTACTAAAGTTCAAACTGTAAAAATTTATGAATTTTTTAAAATTATTTATTAAATTATTATTATTAAAAAATAATTTATTTTTTAAGAAGGAATCTCGAGTACCAATTAATTCATATGGTAAAAAATATTTTTTAATTTTTATTTTAATTTATACATATAATTTTTCAGTTCGTTTCCAACACGTAAAGGTGTTTATTGGATATTTTAATTAAAAAAATAATTTAATTTTTAAAAAAGACATGTACTTGGTTGCATTCAACTAATCCTCAACTTAAATCGAATCTTTATTATTCAAGTAAAAATGAAAAAGGATGGGTTAAGGTAAATTTTCTTTTAAATTTTTGGGGGGAGGAGGAGAGTGTGAATTGTGAATTTTTGATAAATAAAATAAGGATTTACAAAATAATATTTTTATTTTCAAAAATTTCAGGTAATTTGTGAGCCATTTAAAATAGATAAAGAAGCTTTTTCACTTTCGCCTGTTGTTCCAAACGAAGTTAGAGATTTAGATTTTGCCAATGATGCTTGTAAAGCTTTACATCAATTTGTTGATTTAATTAAAAGTGGAAAACAAATTTGTAAAGAAATAATTAAATCGACAACCCAATTATTAATTGATTGTATTTATTTTGTTACTGGAATCCAACAAAATAATCAAATAATGATTGATCCTCTAAAAATTTTAAATTTCGAGCCTTTGAGGGATCGACAAAAATTATTAAGGGAACAAGGAGTTCTTGCACAAATATTTGATTTACAGAAAGCTCCCTTCCTTCCAAGACAGGGAATAGGGGAAGTTCATCCACTTTTAAGTGCCCCAGCAGAATTAAATGAACCAAGAAATGAATGCTTTTTAAAAATGTTTCAAGTAAATTTAAATTAATTTAAAAAATATATTTTTTAAAGTTGTCATATTCTTTACTTTTATATTCTCAATGTGGTTATCGTAAAAATCAAGAATTTTTAGCTGAAAAATTTGATCATATTCAAGAACATATTGGATTTAATTTATTAGCTGAAGAAACTGTTAGAGTGTTTTTATTTAAATTAATTTAAAATTTAATTTTAGATGACTGCTGTTTTACATAATAATCCTAAATTGTTAGAGAAATATGTTAAAATACCTCATGTTGAACGTTTTGTTGAACTTGTGGTAAAACTTTTTTGTGGGCTTTTAAAAATTATTAAAAAAGGAATTCGATTTAATTTAAAAATTTTAAATGTCAAAAAATTAATTACGAATAATATCCTACTTAAATTTAATTTTCTTTTAAAAGAGAAATAATCGTTGTGGTAAATTTCTTTTTTATTTGGCCGATCTTTGTGTATGTCGCGGGGAAGCTAATAAGAAAATTCAAGAATTAATATGTAATTGTGTGGTAATTAATAAATAAATACTTGATTTTTTTTAAATATTTTATTTTAAAGTTAAATGAAAAAAACAGAGAAATATTTATGTTAACAGAAAAACGTTTAATTTCTTCTCCTCAAAATAATTTTGAAGTCTATATTTGTTGGGGCTATTCTGGTTCAAAATGTTCACCTTTAGTTAATTGCTCTAATTTAATTGCTGAAGAAGATGAAAAAGAAATGTTTGATTATTACAAACATCAATTAGAATTATTTGCACAATTATGTCAAGACCAACAATATTTAGCTATAGACCCTCCACCTGAAAGGAAATTATTAAATATAAGTCAACAACTTCCTGTTGATTTAGTTATTAAGTATTTTTTTGATTTAAAAATTTAAAAATAATTTAAAAAAGATGTATTTCTGATTCTCGTCTCCCTTTTGATATTCGGGCCTCTTTTTGTCGTTTAATGCTTCACCTCCATGTTGTAAGGGGTTCACCTGTTCCAGCTGTAAGACATGCACGTTTATGGAGGGATATACCAGAGAAAGTTTTTATTAAAAAGTAAATATTTTACAAAAATATTTCCTTAATTTAATTTTAATTTTCTAAAAAGATATCACAGTTCAGCTTTAGAATCTTACAAAAATGAAAATACTTCAATGGATTCTAATAGGGGACATATGCCTGTAATTGAATTTCATCAAGAAATTCTCGAAACTGTCCAAAATTATTTATTAGAATTATGTAATTTAAATAATGGACACCAACCAATACTTAATGATTTGCCTGAATATGCTGACCAAAATAGATTAACATATGAAGTTTTTTTGTTTGTTAAATATTCCAAAAAAATATTTTCTTTTTAGGTTATTAATTTAGCTAAAGCATTAGCCCAATTTGGATTTTATGATTTTGAACAAATGCTTGAATTGACACAATATTTATTAATTATTGTGGATAGTTGCCCTTCTCAAAAAGAGAATAATAATTTAATTAATAATAATTCAAAAATAAAAACACATACAAAATTAATTAGACAAATATCTAAATTTACTTCTATAACTACAACAAAGAATGATGAAGAAAATAATAATGAAATTGCTGTAAATATTTTTTGTTATAAAATAACTAATTAATTTAATTTTTAAGAATTTAATAAAAAATAATTTGTCTTCTACACCCACAATTAACAATAATACTAATAATTATTCAAAACCTCCTCCAAATACTTTAGAAATTCCAATAACAAAAACAATAATACAAAAACAATTTAATAATAACACAAAAGATTTAACTGAAGTCTCGACAAATTCAAAACGTTCAAGGGAAATGCTTTTAAAAACTAAATTAATTGTTGTTGAATTAATTGATTTTATTATGGATGTTAGAAGGTAATTAATTAATTGAGAAAAAATTAAAAGAAAATTTAATTAAAGAGATTTTCGAGTAACAAAAGCACTTTCATTCTACAAAAATTTATTGTCTTCTTGCAATGAAAATGGCGAAATAAAGGAAACACCAGGTAAATACAGCAAAGATTTAATATATAATTTTAACAATAAATACAAAATAAAGAATATTTACAAAAATAATATTTAATACAAAATTATTTTTAAAAATTTTCTTTTCTAGTTATTTCAAAAGAATTAATTGAGCAATTATCTCGTTCTGTATTTATTGACTCAGAAAAAGAATTAGATATGGATAAATATAAGGGTCAACAATTATTAAGAATTTTACTTCAAATGACAATGATAGAGGATTTTCCTCTATTAACTAGCACAGCTTTAAAATTATTATTTAGACATTTTAGTCAATTTCAAGAATTAATTGAAGATATGAAACAAGTATAGATTAAATTTTAAAATTAAATTAAAATTAAAAGATTCAATTACTTGTATCAAATCAAGATATAAAGAATTACCATCAAGTAGACAGAGATTTATTTATTTTAAAACAATTAACTGAGAAAAGCGAACTTTGGGTACATTACGGAACACAATTAGACGGGTCTTCAACAACTAGCTGTTCTTCCCCTTCAAATCCCAGTCAAGATCGTTCAGACGACGATTTTATACACGAAACAACTTTGTCTGTCCCTTCTATTGAAACTTTACAAGAAAAAGTTTCGATTGGTTTAGCTTCAATTGTTAATGGAGAACAACAACAACCACAAAAATATTTAAAAGAAACTTCTACAGGAAATGAATCCCCAACAACTAAAAGGCGTAAAACTTTAAAAAGTATTCGAAATAGTGCTGGAATATTACAACAATCATCACCACAATCTGTTTGAAATGCTTTTTTTTTAAATTTTAAATTTATTTTTTAGTCAATAGTTAAAAGCGGTCCTGCAGCAGCAATTGCTATTTTACAACAATATTATCCAAAATTAGCACGTCAACCAAATCAATTAGCTTCTATTGGACTTTTGTTGACAGGTAAAAAGATTTTTGGATATTAACGATGATGAGAAAATTATTTTATTTCCTCTAGATTTATTTTAATTTTTAAAAATTTATTTAAAAAAGGTAATTATGTTGATAATTATCCTTCATGCCACGCCCCCTATTATCTTCAATTTTTGGGACTATTATTTTTACCTAAAATCCAGGAGGGAATGTGGCATAAAAAATCCAAAATTTATCTTAAAAGGTACAACAACAGATAATGATGGTAATCAACGAAATAAAGCAGAAATTAGCAATACTCTTCATTCAATAATGGAAAAAGCCCCTCTTATTTGTTATTTACTTGTTAAAGAAGTAAATTACATAATTAAATTAATTTAAAAAATAATATTTAAAAGATTATCGTTCGAATGAAAGATTTATGTTTTTCTTGTGCTGCAAGTAATTATCGAAATCAGCAATTATTACGTAATATGCTTGTTTATGAAGTTATTTTGCAATTTCTTTGTATTCCTTTTGACCGAAAAAATGACAATGAAATGCCAAAACTTTTAACTTTAAGTCATGAATTTTTGAGATCTTTTTGCAAAAATAATAAAGAAAATCAGTCAAGACTTTATATCCATATTGCTCCAATTGAAGGTGGAGGAGGAGGAGGAAGTAGTAGTGGGGGAGGAGGAGGAGGGAATACAGAACAACAACAACAAAGACATGAAGGAGGGAAACTTTCCGTTGAAACGGTAATTTGAGAGAAAAATGGGCACAGCCCAAGAGGCGCAAAGCCATAATTCAATTTTGGTACCAATTTCTTTAGCTCGATGAGAGGGATCGTTTAATACTAAATTTAGTAAGAATCGGAAATCCTGAAGTATGTTATGGCTTTGCACGTTATGACGGCGCGTCCTTTTGGGTGTGTCCAAGAAAAAATAAATTATTTGGGATTAAATAGCTTTTTAATCCCTCGCTTCTTTTTCTATAAGAAGAATAAAAATTCGAAACGATGAGGGGGAGATGAAATACTCTTTATTTGCACCTTTAGAATCTTTTATTCTTTTTAAAGGTTCAAGACTGTGCTACAATAGTTTCAATATTTAGAGGAAATTCAGAATTATGTGAACATGTTTCTGAACATTTTATTGGGCATATTGTTAATTTAATAGAAAATAAACAAAGAAATTCTATATTTCTTGAATTATTACAAGTAATTGTTTCGTCTTGTGAAAAAGGATTGGATTTGTGTCAAAATAAAGTTGTTGATGAAGTAAATAGAAATAAAAATAAATATTTTTAAATAAATAAATATTTAGATTGGTAAAGCAGCTGAAGATGTTCGACATTTTTATGTTGATAGTGTTTCTTTTGAACAATGTTTTGTTAAATTTATTTTAAATTTCATTAAATTTTTAAGTAATTGAAATGATGAAAAAATCGAATATATCAGATCTGGATTCTTCTCATCCTTTACGTTATCATATAGAATTGGTTAGATTAATGGCTATGTGTACAAAAGGGAAGAATGCGGTAAAGGAATATAAAAAATAAAAATTATTTTAAATAAATACCCCCTTTTTGGAGTGAAAAATTGTAGGGGGGATATGTAAAATTGAGGGTATTGTTTAAGCAGCTCCCTTATCCAATGAGGGTCTGTCTATGCTGTGGTTAATATTTTTTAAAGGTAACAGAATTAAAATGTGCTTCACTTCTTCCAATGGACCATATTGTCAGGGTTTTAACTTCAAATTGTTGTATTTTGGAAGTAAAGACTGTTTATTTACAATTTCTTCTTACGTGTTATATTGAAACGTAAATTTTTAATTTTTATTTATGAAAGGAGGGGAGGGAGGGGGGGGGGGGATAATGTCCATTTAATAATTTTTTTTTTAAATTATTTTATTTTTTTAGTGATTTAGAATTAAAAGATGCAAATAATTCAGAATATTTAGAATTAATTTTAAACGAAATAATATCAGATATAGACAAATTAATAATTAAATTACAATCAATTGTAGGAGAATATTTAAATAATAAATTACCTAAAGAGATTTTATTTTTGGAAAGATTTGTTTGTCAAATAATTACAGAAGTTTTAATTAAATTTTTTGAAAAAACAAATTATGCACAAAGAGCATTTATTGATATTAAAGTAATTTTTAATTTAAATTTAAAAATTAAAAAAAAATAATTTAAAGCATCATCGAAAATTATTTATAACAATTTTACAAAAATTAAATAAATTACAAAATTGTGTTTTTAATGCTGCTGGTAGACGTCCACACAATAATTGGTATAAAATTGCTGATTGTTCTGAAAGGCTAGCTAAATTTGGTAAAAGAAAATTAAAAATATTTTTTTTAATTATTCTTTTTTTAAAGCAAAAAGTCGTTTTATTATTTTACCTGAAAATTCTCTTTCCGTTCCTAACGGTAATGAAAATAATATTACTTCATCATCAACATTACGAACAATTACTGCCAGACAACGTTGGCAAAGTGCTATATTCTCTGCTCGTTATTTTAGAGTAATTATTTATTTCTTTGTTTATTTATATTAGGGATTTTCTGATGTAAAAAAGTATATTTACGTTTTTGGGGATTGGGACAGCAGGATTTCTTTAAAAAATAAATATAACTTCCATTTTAAAATTTTAGTTCGTTAAATTTTTAGATGTAATATTAGGGGTGTTGTAAATAAAAAGGGAATAAAGAAATTTTTTAAATGGAGAGGAAATAATAAAAAATATTTTTAAAAAATTAATTTATTTTTACATATTAAAGAGAACTAGACACTCAAAATCTCTACATTCTCACTTAACTTCTTTAACTGCTGGTGATGAACCAACAACAGTTGTAGCTTTATATCCTCGTTTAATTAACGAATTAAATAATTATCTTTCTCCTTTACAAAATGCAGAAAATGCTGCTTTAGTTGAAATTTTGAGATTACCCGAAAAATTATGTTCTTCTAATTCTTTGACTTCGAATAAATTTGGTTAAAAAAATTTTTTAATTTAAAAATAATAATTCTTTTTTAGAACCTTCTTGTCATGGAAAATTTGTTAAATCAATGTTAATTAGGCATTGTAAATTACTTTTAGAATCGAAAAGAAATGAATTATGTGGGCGTGTACTCGTTACTTTATATAAATTAGTTTCGAATTTAAAACAAGAATTTAATGAAAATGTAAAAGAAATGCTTGGAGAATTACTTTGTCGTTATTTTGGGGAGGGGTCTGTACAGGGATTAACTACATTTAATAAATCAACAAATTTTTCTATAAATAATTTAAATAAAGAGAATATAAATAAAGGAGGTATAAAGAAAAAAAAATAATTTTTAAAATATACTTTTACCTACCCAGATTGTATTTTTGATTCAGAACTAAATCCAAAACAAGAAAAAACCCTTTACAATATGCAATGTGATTTAATGGATGCTGGAGCTGTTGATTTAATTATAGATTTAATTGTTATGGAACCCCCATATGATATATTTAAAAAGAGTATTCAATTGGCTAAAGCTTTGCTGTTTGGGGGAAATGATAAAGTAAATAAATATTTAAATTTGAATTAAATAGTTGGGGGACATTTAATTAATAATTAATTTTAGAGAAGTTATGTAACATTATGGAATCAAAACTTTATTTTTTATTAGGTTCAAATGGCATTTTATCAAAGATTACAAGACGATCAAAAATTAGCCTCTCGCTTCTTTAATGCTTTAAAATTAAAAATGCAAGCAGCACAAAATCGAATTAAAGCTGACATTTTAAGTGGAACATCTAATGCTGGAAGGGCAACAACTAGTAAGTAAATGTTTTTTAATAGAATCTTATTTTTTGTTTTGTTTTGAAATGCTGTGTTTTTCTTTTCTTTTTTGTTTTCTTTTTAAGTTTTTTCTACTTCTGGCAGTCGTCGTTGTATGTTTAAATAAATTAAATAAATATAAAAAATATTTTTTTCAATTTTTTCTTTAGCTTCAGCTGCAATTACTCCAAATCCACAAAATGGCGTTAATTGGTTAAGCAGTATTGGGGGAGAAACTAAAAAACATTCAGAACTTTCAGCAAAGAATAGTTTAAATTTAAATATTCCTTTTAATGAACAACAATGTAATGAAGGGGGAATTTTTTGAAAAATAAATCTTTTAATTTTTAGATTTTGATAAAAGAAATAATGTTTGTATTACTTCTTCTAATTCATTTCAACATTCTTCTTGGCAATCTACTACTTCATATCAACATCAACAACAAACATTTCTTCGCCACCAAAATCGTTCAGAAATTGAAGAAAAGTATGTTTTAAAGAGATTTTTTTAAATAAATATTCTTTTTAAGAATATTAATTCCAATTCTTCCTATTGAAATAAGTATTGTTGAACCAATTTTACGTTTTTTACAATTACTTTGTGAAAATCATAATTCTACTTTACAAGTAGATAATTTTTAATATTTTAGAAAAAAATATTTTCTTTTTAAGAATTTTTTGCGTACTCAAAGAGGAAGACCAGACTTTAATTTAGTATCAGAAACTCTTACATTTTTAGATTGTATTTGTGGAAGTACAAAAGGAAGTCTTGGAGTATTTGCAGAAATTGGGGAACATAGTATGTTTGTTGTTGTTATAAGCAATAAAAATAATAATTTTTTAAAGATTTTTCTCTTGTTACACAAACATTAATTAGGTAAAAATAAAATTTATTTTTTAAAAATTAATTTTTAATACTTTTGTTTTAGTCTAACAGAATTTTGTCAAGGTCCTTGTCATGAAAATCAAAATGCTTTAGCTAGACATGAAAGTAATGGAATGGATATTGTTATATCTTTAGTACTTAATGATATTAGACCTTTGGCAGATCAAAAAATGGAATTGGCTTTAGAAATTAAAAGTCAAGCCTCTAAAGTATTTAGAGAGAATGTCAAAAAATTCTCTTCCCCTCCCCATTTTTTAGCTTTTGTTAGCCATAATGGAATCTAGAGATGATTCTGAAAATGCTGATCGTGTTCTTCGTTTAATGGCCCATAGCGGCACAAGTACAAGTACTTCCTCCTCTTTATCTTCCTCATCAACTAGCGGGGGCGCTAAACAATTAATTAAAGCAATTGGGCATGCTTATTCAATGTCTTCAACATATTCCCCCTCCCCTTCTTTTTCTTCTACTCCTGGACAGGCATTAGAAGTTGCTAATCATTTACAGCAACAACAACAAATATTTACAAAAAATATTTCTGAAAACAAAAAAGGAGGATTTAAATATTTAATTTCTTGGATTTGGCCTTTTTCTAAAAATAATTTAAATAAACCAGAAATTTGTTTATCTTCTAATGGAAATAATTTAAAGAATAGTAATAAAGAAGAAAAAGACAAAATTAAAGACAAAACTACTTTATTAACAACATCTACTACAACTTTAGTTGACCCTAAAGAAGTTGAAATATATAAATAATTTAAAATAATTATTTATTTTTTCTTAGGTTGGCCACAATATATTTATTTTAGCCCAACAATTAGGTCGACATAGTAAAGAATTAAATTGGCATCTTTGCCCAGAAAATGCAACAAATGAAAATATTAAAAATGCTTTAACATTTTATCAGCAACATACTGGACAAATTGAAGTTTAATTTTAAAAAGAAAATATTTTAAAATAATTTAAAAATAAAAGATTGTTCGTTCTGATCGAAAAATGGAAAGAGTACTTTTTCCAATTAATGATATTTGTGGGTTTTTAACTGATGAAACAAAACATTCAGTTTTTGTAAATACCGAAAAGGATGCACAAGGATCGAAAATTTCTGATTTTTTTGATAAATGGCCTAATTTATATAATGAAATGAAATGGCAAAAAAAATTACAAAGTATGGAAGGAGTTAGAATAAAAATAAATTTATTAATTTAGATAGACAATTATTAAGTTATTTCACTAAACGTTTACATATTTGGTCAAGAATTTGTTTCTTCTTGTCTGTTCTTCTTAATTTAATTTTAGCAATTTCCTATCCATTTGAACATTCACAAAATTTTGGACAATCACGTTAATTAACTAATTAATTTAAATTTAAAAAAAAATAAATTTAATTTAAGTATTCTTGAGTGCTGACAATCCTTTTATTTATTTATCTTTTTTGGTTGCTCTTTTATATTTTTTCTTTTGTTGTTCTCCTGAATGGTATGTAAATAAATTAATTTAAAATTCTGATATTCTGATTTATCAGAATATTTATTTTTTAAATTATTTTCTAGGCATTCTGTTGGATTATCCTTTTGTTCACAAATTAGTTTATTTTTGGCCATGTTTTCATCGTCAATTTTATCAACAGCGCTTTTTGGATTATTACCAACACTTTGGATTTTGGGTACTTTACAATTTGTTGTCAAGTGGGATTTTAAAAAAAATTAATTTAAAAATAATTCCCTCCCCCAACAGATGTATCCACATAACTAGTTATTCAGGCAATAAAGGATTTGTGGAAGACCATAATTGGAAACAAATATTTTCTGATTCAACATTTTTATATCATTTGGCTTATTTAATTTGTTGTTTGTTAGGACTTTTAATCCATCCATTTATTTATTCTTTATTGGTTTTTCTCTTTATTTTTTAATTAAATAATAATTATTTTTTCTAAAAGTTATTTGATGTTATTGCTTGTGAAGAAACACTTCAAAATGTTATTAGATCAGTTACTCGTAATTGGCAATCTATATTTTTAACTGGTCTTTTAGCATTAATTTTAGTTTATCATTTCTCTATTATTGGGTATTTATTTTTTCAAAGAGGTAAAAGAAAATTAAAAAAGTTTAAAAAATTTTTTTAAAGATTTTCGATTAGAAGTACATAAATTAACGGATTCTGAAGAAGAAATTGGAAATAAATGTTTAAATCAAAATAATTATTTTTATAAAAATTATTTAAAAGAAGAGGAAAATAAACAAAAATGTGAAGAAAAAAATAATTTAATTGAAGAAGATGATGAATTAGAATTAAAAGTACCTTCTTGTGAGACACTTAGAATGTGTATCTTAACAACACTTAATTGGGGTAATTTTAAACAAAACTATAAAATTTAAATTTTGTTTAATCAATTTAATTAATGTTAAATAAATTGACAGTAAAAGAAAAAATTAAAATGGTATTTGAAGCATTCTCATAATTTATAACGAGTTCGGGGGGTTTTCAGGCTTATCCTCGTATTTTTGAAGAAACCATGCTTTTTAGGAGTCTAGTTGTGAAACCTTGACCTGTTATAAACTCCCGGACCTTCGCAATTATTTAATCACAATGAAAAGAAAAAATAAGTAAAAGTTGATGGAAGTAATATAATAGTAAAAGCAAATTCGCATTGGTCAAGTCACAACAAAAAAATGGAGAAAGGGCCGGAAATTCGAAAATTCCGAATTCTAATAATTACAGAGTTTTAAAGAACTATAACTAAAATTGATGTACATTCATTTAACACCAATTTCTATACTTTTTAGGACTTAGGAATGGAGGTGGAATTGGTGATGTTTTGAGAAGTGTTAGTCCACATGTAAATGTTTTTTTAATTTAAAAATATTTTTTTTATTTAAAAAGGAGCCTTATTTCTTTTGGAGAATTTTGTATGATATGACTTTTTATATTGGTAAATAAAAAGAATTAATTAAAATAAAATTGTTTTTTCTAAAGTTTTAATTATTATTGTTCTTAATTTAATTTTTGGAGTAATTATTGACACTTTTGGTGATTTGAGAACAGAAAAAAATGAAAAAGAATTTACTTTGGTTAGTTAAAAAATAAAATAAAAATATTTTAAAAAATTATTTTTAAAGAGAAATACTTGTTTTATTTGCGGATTGGAAAGAGGAAAATTTGATAATAAATCAGTTCAAGTAACTTTTGATGAGCATAATGAAAGGGAACATAATCTTTGGCATTATATTTATTTTATTGTTTGGTTACAAATTAAGGATGAAACAGAATTTACTGGACCTGAAAGTTTTGTATCTAAATGTGTTAAAGTAAATTTAAAAAATAAAAATATTTTATTTAATTATTTAAAAAAGAATCATAATATGGATTGGTTTCCAAGAATGCAAGCAATTTCTTTACAAAAAGAAAATGAAAATAATTTGGAAGAAATTGAGAATAATAATATACAAAAACAGCAAATATTACAATTAGAATTAAATAATTTAAGAGAACAATTACAACAAAATCAATCTTTACTTAGAGAATTTGGACAAAGAATGCAGGAATTACATCAATTATTAATTATTGATCAACAACAAAATTAAAAATAAATAAATAATAATTAATGCCAAAGACTGCCATTTATAGGAATATATTAATTTAAATTAAAATATAATTTTATGACAAAAATTTAACACATCTTTTTCTTAATAACTCCAAAAACAAAATTACTTATTTCCATTCTTTTGCCATTATTATTTAATTTTAAATCTTGCCTTAACCAAAAGTTGAATTTTTTGTAGCCTTCCTCAGGATTTTGTTAATTGCTTACTAAATTTATTTTTTTGTCATTTCATTACTTTCTACTTATTTTTAAAATACTAGAGATTTATGTAATTTTGTAAAAAATAATATATGTATATTTTACTAAATGTGTATGTATATTTATGTAAAAATCTAAAATTTAATCTATTTATGATGAACATTAATTCTTCACATTTTGTTTTTTAACACTAATTTTTGTCGCAGCTTTTTGTACAGTTTTGTATTCTTCTAGTACTCGCTTAGCTGGGTGTTCCTTTGTGCAGCTTCTCAAATGGACGGGTAATCTATCAGGTGCAAACTTTCTACCACAGTTCTCGCAAGGAATGAGTTGTGCGAGTGATGCATCGTAAGCAGCTTGGTTGGTAGCTTCGAAGTCAATGGCACCCCCTTTAATAAATTATTTTTTTAAAATTATTTTCAAACCTTCGTCTCGCACAATTTCTGGAGGTTTGGGCTCAGGTCGACGCTGAGATTTGGGCAATTTTTCATTTTGTATGTGCCACTTTTTAAGACATTGTGGTTGATGTATGCCAATACTAGCCGAACCAAATTGCCTTCCACAAATATAGCAATAAACAGTTGGGGCCGCAGTGCGCGCTCGCGGGGGGCCTGGTGTTAAATGTTCCTGTGAGGGAATAATTAATTTCAAATAATTTTAGTTATGAAAAGCTTACATATCCTAGCATCTATTTAGAAATATCAGTAGATTAATTAGTTAGCAATAGGCATTGTCTTATAAATTAAAATAGAACAGAAATTTATCTTTTATTTAAAGAATGGAAAATAAAAATTCGACAAAATTATTAATAATGTAAAATTGAAATTTTATTGAAGCGTATTTTAAAAAAAATAGTAAATTTGTGGCAAATTTTTACGCCCCACATAGTTTTACGCAGGGTGTATGTCCAAAATAGGATTATTTTTAGATATTTGTGTAGTTAAAATTTTGAGTATAATATAAAACATTTATACACAAGAAATTATTCAATTAAATTTTAAAATTTTGACTTGGAATTAATATAGTTGGTTGGGCTCTAAATAGTTTTAGGAATTTAATAGCACTTTTTATTTTTAAAGGATGGAAAATTCCTGTCAATAAACTGCCGACGTGAGAACCTAAAAGAGAGCGAACACGGGAAAAGTGCAAAAAAAGGATAAAGGACGAACAAGTAACCAACTTAAAATATAAATATGTTAGTTCTCTCCTTAGCAACCAAAAAATAGTAAAACTTAAAGAAAGTGTTCTAAGTATTATATTGGATTTTCAAACGAACATCTTTAATGAATGGAATTAGCATGTTTTATTAAAATAAACAATTACATAAAACCAAATAAAAAATCGAAAAATAATCAAAAAAAACTTTTAATATAAGAAAAATATCAAAAAATGTATGTATACACCTTCCATTTAATTTATTTAATTATCAGTTACTACAACTACCTCTTCTTCCACAGCACCAGAGATTATTGATTGTTGTTGTAATTGTTGTCCAGAACTTTCTATCACCTCATCATCATAATATTGTTGTTGATGTTGGAAACCTCTTGCATAACCAGTCTATAAAAACAAAATTTTAAAATAAATGAAAATATTTGTTATGTTTAATTAAAAATATAAAACCCCCATACTTCGTTTCGATCAAAAAGCTGATAATTATTCATCATTCTCCCATTAGCAGTTTGCATTTGAGAATACTGTCTCTGGGCAATTTGTCGAGAACCATAACCAATCCGAGGATATGCAAAACGATATGGTTGTTGATATATTTGTTGAACACGTGGCGGGTTTATCTTTAAATACAGAATTTAGAGGTCTAGATATTTAACGGGAATATTAATTCGTCTGAAACTTTCAGAATTAAAAAAGGATTAATTTTTCGGCAAAATTTGTAAAATTCGGTTAACAACCCTACCGGTACTTCATAATGTAAGACACCACCAAGACGCTGTTGAGGACGACGTATTTGCTGATGATGACGAATTGGAAGTTGCGTTGAAATTACTGGTTGTCTCGACGCAATTACTGGATGTTGCCAATAACGAGGAGAATAACGCTATAGAATTTAATTTTGTATTTCAGAATTTATTTTTAAATTTATTACCGTATTAACCGGTCTAGGAATAACTGTACATCTAGCAATTGGCTGCTGTTGTTGAATTTGAACCAAATTAGAGGCTGATTGGGGTTGAACTTGTTTTGACATTGGCGACAAGAAACTGCCCAACGGACCACCATCACCTGTTGGCGCAACTCCACTTAGATTTGCACGAGTGGCACGAACAATTATTGGATCAGCTGTGGCAGTCGGCGGTGATTGAAATTTGGAAATTGAATTCGAAGAACTAAATTTAAATTAGAAAAACTAATAAAAATATATTAAAAAACAAACTCATTAAATGTGTCCTTGGAGACAGTTTCAGTTGGCTGGCTAATATCGGTACTTGTTAATGTTCCTGTTTATTAAAATTTATTTTAAAATGTATTAAAGGAAATTTTTTATAAAATTGAAATTTATTTAAAAACCTTCAACAATTTGATCAACATAATCACGTAATGCAGGAGGCAAACAAGCTTTAATATGTGGAACATGTTCTGCAGGAACTTCATCTCGCTCTATTCCATAAGCCAAACCAAGACGTTTTAAAACTTCAATATCGTCATGAATTTCAAAAGGTCGATCAAAATTAAACCAATACTCAGACCTAATTACAAAATATTTTTAAATTTATTTAAAAAAATACTTGTCTGGGGCAATTGCACATTCAACCATTGTTTTACGTTCAGTACTAACAATAATATAAGGTAAATAAAGAATTGCTGAATTTGGTGGACGTCCATTAATTCTTTCCCTTTCTCGATTTCGTTGTACCAAAGATTTATAAGCAACTAACTGAACAATTAATTCCTGTAATTGCTCAGTTTTCTGTCGAATTCGCTCTTTTCGTTGTGCCAATTCTTCTTCGAGACGTCGACATTCAGCTAATGAAGATGTTGGTAATCCAACCCAACGAATTTCTTTTTTCTCTTTTTCAATTATATTCATCGCCATTAAAACATTTAATGCGTCATAAACCCGACGACGAATATTTCGAACATCATATTGATATTTTTCCTTAAAAATAATTAAATTTAACCTGATAAAATTGAAAGAACCGGGTCTTGTGGCATAACAGAATTATCGAAATATTCTGTAACTAATTCATCAGCTACTTCGTTGTAGTTAGTTTGTCCTTTGTTTTTAACTTTTTCGCAAACTTTGTGCGCAAAATGACGCAAGCCTCTAGTTTTGTCTGTTGAACGTTGCCGTAAATAAAAATGTGGCGTTAACTGAATAAGAATAGAAACAAATTTTTATTTAAAATTTAAAAAAAGAAACCGCTTGCGCCACAGGTGTATGATCGACATTAACATAATCTTCTGAAGCACCACTCTCTCCAACATCATCGTCATAATGCCGAGGACGTTTCAAGCTAATACCAACATGTTGTTGTTGTAATCGTTGATGCTGATAAGGATAATTTGGAGGAGGAGTTGAGTAAATATTTGAAGAATAAGGGCGTTGTGCCGAAGAAAAAAAACGCAATTGCGCTGAGTGTCCTCGAGTCTGGTCCATTAATCTAAAATTAGAACATTTAAAAACAGAGCGGATAGGGAACAGCATATCACAAAAAAGGGCAATTCCCAACCCTGTTCCCTTATTGTTTAAAAGAGATAAACAACAATTTGCACAAACAAAGGCAATTATCAATGCCACAAAATAATTTTTAATAAAAATTTAAAATTTTTAAAATTTTCTTTAATTTTTCGGTTTTGTAAAATGATGAAATGGTGTTGTTATGTTATAATGGCATAAATAATATGTAAAGAAACAGATGAAAACAATTAATTGACTTGAATTATGTCAAAAAGTCAGCAAGACTCTTTTGTCTTTACATTTATTTTCAGTCTCAGCTAGTGAACGACATATCTACGTTTTCGTCGATTCGCGGCGAATAACTACTTTTATTCGCGAACGACTTTTTTTTAATACAAAACGCCAGAACTACGTAAATATCGATGTTTTGCGCCAAACGATTGCGAAACGACTTTTTTGTGTCTCTTTTTCTCTAATTTCACAAAATATTTCCTTTCTCTTTTTCTATTAATTTTCGTTCAGTGCAGTCTCTCAATTTGTAAGGAGGTTTTTGTAAATTGGATTTCATTTTTTTATTTTTAGGGGTTACAAAAGTTTTTTTAAGGCTTTGGAGGTAGGAAAGGAAATTTGAAGGAAAATTGCAGAAAAATTGAAATTTTGAAGCTGTAGAATTAATGCCTATCTCATTAGCCTCCTAGTACAACATTTGGAAGTCTTATTGTTAATGGTAGTAGTGAATTTTCAGAAGCAAACACTTACCATCAACGACATTTGGAGCAGCAACCATTATCAGGTTATTTTGTTTTTCGGTGCATTATAATTTGTGGGTAAATTACTTTCCGGGTTAAATTACACTTCCCGAACCGAATTTCGCACCCTGAAACTCGAATGAGCTATCGTTTTCATTGATCCTAGAATTAGTTGCTAAATTTTTTTCATTCCTAAATTTTTTCTTTTTTATGTTTAATCAAAACTTGTTTGATGTGTGTCGAACTCCATCCTACGGCTGCAACAATGGGGAAACAATAGGAGAGGTTGTTTTTTAAATCTTATTTTTTTTTTGGAATTTTTTAAAATTTTTTCAATTTTTTAATTCATTTTTCTAAGTGTTACAACGACGTGCTCGGGCGATTTGCTGTTGAAGTGATTCTGCCTGGCAACCTTTGAATTGCAGTCTTAGATGGAATAGAAGCGACACAGCCACAACCCAAACGGCCCTCTTTAGGGCCACAAATCTAATGAGTGAAACGAGACATTGGCTTTTAGTTTTTTTGATAAATTTTTGTTTATTTGTCTCATTTTTTTATTGAAATTTTGTTTTTAACTTCCCCCTAAGCCCGAAAAAGCCCAAGAAAAGCCTAGAGTCAAGATTCGACTACATTTGAAAATGTTCTTTAGAAAATGTTCAACAGAATCTTCGCTGGAAAATATGTGGGAATATACTAAAGCGACCCCAAATCAAGTAGATGATAATTTTTTTATCAATTCTTCGTTTTTTTCTATTGTTTTCTTTTAATTATTCAAAACATACAAAATTGGTATGTTTTGTAAGTTTGATGTTTCATTCGATGGAGCTTTTCGAGCTGTTTCGAATGGTGCCAAAAATAATTCGAACAGACAAAAATAAAGGAAGTTATGGCCCTACAAAGTTTTTGGATTCCAAGAAAAATGGACTGCACAAAACAAGAGAGACGAAAATTAATAGAAAAAGAGAAAGGAAATATAATGAAAAATTAGAGAAAAAGAGATACAAAAAAGTCGTTTCGCAATCGTTTGGCGTAAAACATCGATATTTACGTAGTTCTGGCGTTTTGTTTATTAAAAAAAGTCGTTCGCGAATAATTGTAGATTTTTTTAAAACGACTTTTTTTCCTTAAGAAAAAGTCGATATGTCGTTCACTAGTCTCAGCACAAACCTAAACCTTTAGGCTTGCTTGTCAATAGAGTCTCGGCGACTTAGCATCGAAACGCCTTTTTCTATGCCATAACTTTTTTTATTTCGATCATTTCCAGAAATTTTCTTTATCAATTAGAATCTATATTTGTTTTTATTCTTTTTATTAACTTTATGAAAAGATCCGACCATTTCTTAGAAAGTTACACCCGCCTAAGTATGTTAAATCACGATTATTCACAGTTAACGGCTCCTAACCGTGGCGCGAACTTTGCGGATCCGAATTTTGCGGACCCGAACTTTGCGGACTCGTAATTTGCGGAACGAAAGTTGCGGACCCGAAGGTTGCGGACACGAAATTTGCGGACCTGATTTTTGCGGAACCAAGATTTTAGGACCGACACTTGAGTAAAATTGAAAAATTAAAAATTTTACTTTTCGATGATTCCGGCAGAATTTACCATGATCCGTACCGGACTCATGATTTTTTCTTGATTTTTCAAAATTTTTATCAATTTCTTATCTTAAAATTATTTCATAATTTAAATAATCGAGAAAATTCCTTTAAAAAATCATTTATATGGCCATTTCATAAGGTCATGATGTCTGAATTTATCCTAAATAACGCCACAGGCTAAAATTTTTGAAATTTCCGAGGTTCAGTAGACTCTATTGTCGGTCCGCAAATTTTTGGTCCGCAAAATTCGGGTCCGCATAGTTCGGGTCCGCAAAATTCGAGTCCGCAAAGTTCGGGTCCGCAAATTTCGGGTCCGCAAATTAAAATCCGCAAATTTCGGCTCGCCCTCCTAACTTTTTTGAAAGACGGTAAAACTACACAATTTCTATGAATGAATAACCAGCACATCCAGAGCTTTTAATTAAAGTAAAAATTATTTGGATTGGTTTAAAAACAAAAAAGTTATACCCCAAAAACTTTCGTTTTTCTGCCATATTTTAAGACTCTTTCGTTACCTGGTTACTTTTAGTCTAAACCTTTTGAAGCCTAAACCTTTAGGTTTTTAAACATTTGAGTCTCACCACTCTTCAAACTTTTTTTTAATTCTAGCTTTCTTAATCGTTTGTTCTTCTTAATTAGTGTATAAAGATGAACACGAATTGATATTCTGAGATAGAGTGCGGCATGAGACGGGGTCCCGTCAGTTTTTATTGGACAAATTGGATTTTGAGATTTATGGGATTAATCTCGCGGGATCCCGGACTTGTGATTACGCCGCACTCTATTAATTAAAACTTTATGCTTTTTGAAGGTGTGAAATAATGGAATTTAATAACGGGAATTCATCAGTAGCAAGTACTTCGTCTCTTCAAATTCAAAATGAAATTGGAAGTGGAGACGCAAAGTTTGGTGAAAATTCTGAAATTACAAATCGTTGTTATTCTTCATCAGAAAATGTTGCAAGCAGTAGTTTTGGCGATATTTATGGAAATACTTCTACAAATTCTGATGAAAAAGATTCTTTATTACAAACAACAAAATTATTTTTGGGGGGAGAATGGATTGAAATACCTAATGCACTTATTAATGATGTATGTATTTTGATTTTATTATTATTTTTTTAATATTTAGGAGTTTACTTTTCGTTCTGCAATTAATAAAGAATCATTTCAATCACTTTCACAGGCAGCAAAAAATCATTTAAATGTTTTTTTTAAATTTATTTTAAACTAAACAAATTAATTTACAGCGTTATTTGCCTGAATCTGATGGAGCTTGTTTAGATGAAGTATTGTCATCTACATTCTCAACTGACAAAAATTTCTTTTTTGGGAATCCGATGGAGAAATTCTTCAAAAAGATTAGCGGTAATTTTTTTTTTGAATTATTTTTGTTTTAATTTATTTTAATTTTTAGATGGTTATTTTAGTTCTTTTGATCAAGTCCAATTAAGAGATCACAAACGGGTTTGTAATTTACATATTTAATTTTAAAGTTTCTTTTGATTCACTTTAAGGTTCTCTATGACCATTATATTCGCCATTATCATATGAATTTACTCAAAAATTTGCTAGTTAGTCGGCATGTCTGTTTCTTTTTTTATTTTTAACTACTGAAAATTTCAGGCACTTCTCGAAACTACCTCCAAACAGAAAGCAAGTCTTGCCGAGCATTCCCGAGATTCTCTTACTTCGGTTTCTTCCTCAATTAAACATTTACTTGGAGAATTAAAACCACAATCTTCCAATACTAAATTAAAAACAAATAAATTAAATTATTCTAAACGTCGATTAGCTAAACATTCAAATGTCAAACGACGTGCAAAAATACGAGCGAGATTGTAAATAAATTTTTAATAAAATAATCGAAAAATTATAGTTGACTTTTATATTATAAATTTATTAATTTTATACAAAAAATATTTTTATTTGCTAGAATGATTGATGATTGTCGTGTCAGATCAGGCCAAAATCCCGGTCTGTCTTCTGACGAATCTGGGCAAGGTTCTTCTTCTCTGTTTTTTTTTATTTTGAAAAAATATTTTTAGAAGAATGTTCTATTCAACCACTTCCTCAAAATTCTCGAAGTACAATGTTTACAGAAAAATTCCCTGTTGATTTGGATTTATACCAGCCAATAAAATTGCGTGATGTTGCTGATCTTTATCGAGAATATCGCTATTTGCGCGAAGTTGAACCCGTAACTGCCATTTTTCTTATCAATAATTTCTTTATTTTCAGGATTGCCCAAGTCTTGATATTAGTGACATAACTCTGTAAGTTTTTATATTTTAATATTTTTATTGTGGGATTTGTGAGAAATTGAGTTGTGTTTTAAGTAGCGATTTAAAAATTATTTGATTAATAGTTGTTTTTGTCACATTTTTTGATCCTGATTATTCTATTGTCTGGAATGTTTCGGCCAATTTAAAAATATTGATCAATTAGAACAAATAAGGTAATTTTTATTTTTTAGTGAAGAAGTTTATGAACGAACTGGTATTTCGTTCCAAACAGAACGTAACTTCTTTAAATTAGCCGAACAAAATTTTGCACAATTTACTAAACAAAAATATCCTCAAAAGCAACAAACACAAGAACAACAACAACATTTCTGTAATGGTGGAAGTATTACTACTCAAAATGAAGTTAAACTTGAAGTAGCTTCTCCTTTAAA